GACTCCCGGATCAAATTTCGAGCTATCGATCGGAATCTTCCCAAAATTCCAACTTCTATAAACCTAGCTAATTTTCACTCCGGACCTCCGATTTCATTTCCGTTTTCACCCACACGTCACAAATCATACTCCGAAACTAGTCGAGCCATCGGAAATTCGTTCCGAGCTCTCTAACCCATAAGTCAACTTTGGGTCAACTCTTCCAACTTAAGCCTTTTATAAAGATAGTAAATGTCTCATTTCTATCTAAATTCCATCCGAACCACATCAAACTCATCAAACACGAATACCAACACACGGGGGAGCATCTTACGGGGTTACAAAACTGAAATGAATTAAATAACGGGTCGGGTCATTACATATAATGACTCATTAAGACAGCCTAGTCCAAAGTCCATCAGGTTTCCTTCAAACCCAAACGGATACTACCATGTTTTGCGCATTTATTTGTAGAACTAAATGCCTATTATGCTAATTATTGATTTAAAAGTTGAGTTTGGCGAGGTAAGGGCCTAACATTTTGTTTTGTAGAAAATGAGGCATGATGTCCCAAGATTCGGTATGGTAACCAACATCCACCCAAGGCTGCTAAGCTGGTGGGAAGATCTGCATGCAAGTGATCGGACCCTTATCCGCAAATACTTAGGGATTTGCCTTATCTTCTAGAAATCCAGCCTGACAACAAAATCATAGAGGCTGCAACTTTATTCTGGGATATTGATAGATCTGTGTTCTGCTTTGGGGTCGTTGAAATGACCCCTTTGCTCGAGGAAATGGGAGGTCTAGCTGGTATTCCTTGGAAAACTTCGGGTTTGCTTATGCCGGAAAACCGCAAAGGTAAGGGCTTTCTCAAAATGATGGGATTAAAGAAAAACCCAGACCTGACCTATTCGAAGGACTCCTATATCCCATTTGACTATTTGTACGAGAGGTTCGACAAAAACAAGTTATACCGTACCTACCTCGACGAGTTTGCTCTTACCTTTTTGGGGCACATCCACAGAAGGGTTTTCGTCTTCATGTTTTTCTTTTTAGGGATGATAGTATTCCTTATGAAGAAGGATTGGATCCATACCGGACTAGCCGTGATAACCAAGACCTTGATGGAAGGAATTGATGGGCAGTCTTTCAGCATAGTGCCCATTATCGTCGCCAAAATATATCGAGCCTTGGAAAAATGTCAGCAAGGGACCAAACATTTTGAAGGCTGTAACTTATTACTCCAGCTGTGGCTCATGGAGCACCTCCAAAAGCGTGATTACCAATAAGAGATTCTGCATGGAGAATGGGATGATCACATCGCTTTCCATTAGCCGAAGCGAATGAACTTTATGCCTATCATGTTCGTCCATCCAGAGGATGCTGGATGGGTAGAGTTATTTGAGAACCTGAAAGAAGACCAAGTGCAGTGGATGTTTGAGTGGTTCCCTAGAGGAGAATTCATTGTTTGCTCTCGAGACGCACCATTTCTCATACTCATTGGCTTGAGTGGAACTTATCCCTATGTCCCTCTCTGAGCCATGAGGCAGGCAGAAAGAAAGCAAATCATAACAAGAGTCGACAAAATGAGTTACTGCAGGGCTGACTTCCATGACAATGATAGCCCTCACAGGTGTCAAGCTCAAATATATATGGAACTGCAAACTCATCTTGGGGAAAGAATCTATTGAGCCAGACAAGTATCACGCCGGTTGTGTACACTATTCAGGTTGGTTAGAAGATAATCACAATGGTCTGGGTCATCCCGGGTTCGGTCAAGGACACATGATTATTGACGAAAAGGCCAAAGCACGGGTTAAGTACAATCATTTACGCAAAATCATTTATGAATGGAAGGATATGGCTGTCAGCGCCAACAAGCGACTAGGGTATTTGGAGCGAGGTCTAGTAGAGTTGGAAGGGAATTCCTAAAAAGGATTGAAGATTGTCAAAATGCCGAGGGAAATGCAGGAGGACATCTGGCCCGAGATTATCTGCGCGAGCTGGTGAAGCTAAACGAGGGAGATAAGAATGTCGAATCAGGGGAAAGTCCTTCCGGGACCAAGTAGTTAGGGGTCCTCATTCATTTTTTCTTTAATGATGTAATAAGGCCACTGGCCATTAGTGATATTTCATTTCCTGTTATTTAGTTGTCTTTGAGATTCGTCTTATTTTTTATCAATAAAATGAGGCATTTAGCATTATAAGTTCTCCAAAGTTAACTTGTCTCTAGGCCTACCTAGGGCAAAATGAGGCACCCAAATTAGGACACGACTTATATTCCAGCACAATATGTTTAAATAGCGCAATATTTTCCTTCTCAGAATTCGCACTAACTTTTTACCTTTTGTTTTTCTTTTATTTTTATTTCCCTTCCCAAAGGTTAGTTCGTGCACTCTGGCACCATCATCATACTCCACAAGATCCAAAGGCCCTCCACCTCCTCGTCCGAGTCCTATCCGGAACAAGAACAAAGGTAGAATGGGAGATTCAAGCGCCAGAAAGGAAATTGAAAGGGATGAGGTTCCTCAGGGTGCCCCGGTTGCCAAAGGAACGGCTTCTCAACTTGAACAAAAATTGCTGAAGTTTCAGGAAGAATTGGACCAAGTTCGGAACGTGGCAAACTTATCATTTTCTCTCACCACTCCTGATGTCAACACCCAAAATCCTTTACCTCCACAGAACGCCCCACAACCACAGATACCACCTACTCATGCTCAACCCAACTACACTTGCCACACTCCCAACAAGACTCCTGAACCACTGAAAACCATAAACGACAACCTCCACAACACTCCCATCTATGTGGATACCGTACCCCACTACACTCAACCAATATCGAGGGAACCTAAGTCTAATAACAAAGACTCCCTTATCAGGAACTTGGCCGTAGAACTCAAAAAGCTAACTAGCCAGGTCCATGGTGTTGAAGGAACCAAAGGTATTGAGGGGCTAAACTATGAAATCTTTGCATTCAGCCAGATCATTCAGCCAGATGTCAAACTCTGGAAGAGGTACAAATCTCCCAAGTTCGAAATGTTCAATGGCATAGGTGATCCCAGGGTCCATCTGAGGACATATTATGATAAGCTGGTTGGAGTCAGAAGGGATGAGAAGATCCGTATGAAAATCTTCATGAGAAGTCTGAAAGGGGATGCTTTATCTTGGTACATTAGCCAAGATGCCAAGAAGAGGACAAGCTAGGTAGGTATGGCGTCCGGTTTTATGGACAAGTTCAGGTTTAATTCATAGAACACACCAGAAGTGTTCTACATCCAGAACTTGAAGAAGAACATACAGAAACATCCGCGAGTATGCTACTCGTTGGAGATCAGAGGCTGCAAAGGTCAGGCCGGCCTTAGAAGAAGAGAAGATGAACAAGCTCTTTGTCCGGGCTCAGGATCCACAGTATTATGAAAGGTTAATGTTAATAGAAGACATGTGTTCTCTGATATCATCAAGTTAGGAGAAAGAACTAAATAGGGCATCAAAACTGATATGGTTACCAATCTTGAGGCATTACAGGCTACCAACAAGGCTTTACAATCTGGTGGCACATCAAAAAAGAAGGATGTAAATTCTGTGATGGTTGCGCAGAGGAAAAAATCCCCAATGAAATATCAAATGTACCCGTTATCTCCACTCACATATCAGCCTACCACAAATTACCAAGTGCCCTCGCCCATATACCAAATTCCATCACCCACTTACCAATTATCTCCACCTCTCACATATCAACCCACTTCTCCCAGATACTCTCAACCCGCACTCATCTACCAAGCTTATAATACCCAACCTTCTCACTATCAATCACCACCCACTCGCCAAAACATCCCTAGACCTAGACCAAACTTCGACCGCAGACCTCCTAGACAAAACACAACCATAGCCGAACCAATTGACCAGCTGTATGAAAGACTTAAAGCAGCTGGTTACCTTACCCAAATCCCAGTCGTAACTCCAGAAATTCCATCCCAATAGATCAACCCAAACAAGACCTGAGCATATCACTCAGGCATGATGGGGCATACCATCTATGAGTGTCGCTCACTGAAAGATAAGATTCAAGCCTTAATTGATAACAAGGTCATCACAGTAAAGGAGCCCGCTTCTAATGTCTGCAACAACCCTCTGCCTGACCACAACGGTGTAGGCATTCATATGATCGAGATCGAGGATGATTGGGACCCCAAAGGGTTGATTGGATTTATTACGGAAGAGGATGAGCCAAAGAAACCAACAGTCACACTTAACCCGATTGTTGTCCAGATCCAGCACTCTGAGGGTGATGAGGTGAACATGTTCGTGCCACTTGAGTTCGAAGGGCCTCCCTGAAAGGGGCAAGGACCAATTGAGGTCGAGTTCGGAACTCCAAAGGCACATGCGCCATTCGAAGTTGTTGTGTTACCTCCAAGGTTGCCTATTCCAGTTGCAGTGACAGATGTTACCCCGTTCCACGCAAACGCCATACCATGGGATTACACATCTGAAGCCAGAAGGAAAGGAAAAACCAAAACTGGGGAAGCAATTGTTGTACATTGTATGACTAAATCAGGCAGAGTGTACAATCCTGAACACTTAGCTGAGTCCAGTAAACAAACCTTTGGGCGGCCACTAAAACTGGGCCCGATGATCTTTAGAGGAAAATACCAGTTAAATAGTACTCGGTCGTTGTGAAGTTGAACAAAACACCCGCACAGATCTTCATCCTAGCTTTTCTGCAGAGCTACGATGCAAATAAAATGCTTGGATGAAAATATTGAGTGAAACTTATGTCCCTAGAAACATAACTCGAGGCGAAATGGCAAACATGGTGGGACAATTGTTGGAGAGTCACAAGATTACCTTCCATGAAGATGAATTGCCACCGAAAGGAATGAGCCACAATAAAGAATTGGACATCACCGTGCAATAAGAGGATTATTTCATCACTAGAATCCTGGTCGACAGAGGATCCAACCTCAACATCTGTCCGCTGATAACTTTCAAGACATTGGGGAAAGGCCTGCATGAGATCAAAGATGGGGCTATCAATGTCAACGCTTCTGATAGATCCCAAAGATCTACTATTGGAGAAATCAGTATGTGTTTGCAAATGGGGCCAACCTGGTTCGACGTGGACTTTCAAGTGATAGACATCCCATCCTACAACTTGTTGCTGAGACGATCATGTATCCATGCCACTGGAGCTATAGCATCAACCCTGCATCAAGCGGTAAAGTTCAAATGGAATTACCAAGAGGTGATCATTCAAGGCGATGGTAGCAACCCTATATATAGTCTCTAGACCGTCCCGATGATTGGAGGAACAAGGAAGATAGGCGGAGAAACTTACCACCACATTGGGAGACTAAATGTTGTGGACAATGATAAATGGTAGGATAACAAGATTGAAAGTATCCTGAACTGGTGTGGATATGAGACTGGAAAGGAACTTGGCAGAAACCTCCAGGGCATCACCAAACCCATCAGGCTAAAGAAGCATGGTACTACTTTTGGTATGGGATATGAATATACTTGGAAAGAGTTCGATAATTGGTCGCCACCATGGCGTGGCCCCTACAATCTGCTAAAGCATCCGATGCCTTGTTTGGAGCAGAATTTCCAGTTGGCAGATATCATATATGGGTCAGAAGAAGAAGAGGTGTTAGCTGCAATGAGGAATCTGTTTCTAGAGGGTGACAATATGGACTGTTGTGTTATTTTCGAGGAGGAAGGAGAGGAAGGCCCTTCCATACAAGCTGTGAATCAGGGAGAAAGCCTCAGTAGTTGGTTGATCAAAACCACTAAGGCCTGGAAAGCTTCGGGGTAGCAAGGCTAAACAAAGCACCATGCATTGAATTCTTACTTTTTTTCTACTAGTTGTATTTCTTTCTGCATTATCTTTAATTTTGAAAAGAGCTCCGATGTTCCAAACAATTATGAATTTAATCAAAGCATTTCAATTTATCATATATATTGATCTTATTATTTTCTCTATCATTTACTTTATCTACACAACATTACTATTATTTATCTTGATGATGAACCAACAGTTGTGACTTCCAATGAGACAACGCAACAAACGAATATAGATTCAGAAGAGGATGATATCCCATAAGAGGTCGTCAGAGAGGTTGAGAATTTTGATAACAGGCCTAAGTCTAACTTGGACAAAACTGAGGTCGTTAATTTGGGAGATACAGAAAATGTCAAAGAAACGCGTGTCAGTGTTCACCTGTCACCATCAGAAAAGAAGAGGTACACAGAATTTTTAAAAGAATATGAGGATATATTCGCTTGGTCATACGATGATATCACTGGTCTCAGTATGTCCATTGTAGCTCACAAGCTGCCAACAGATCCAACAAGTCCACCGATAAAACAAAAGCTCAGGAAGTTCAAACCTGACATGAGTTTGAAAATCAAAGAAGAGGCTACCAAGAAAGTCAAAGCCAAGGTTCTTAGGGTGTTAGGGTATCCAACATGGTTAGCCAACATTGTTCTAGGGCCGAAGAAATATGGGAAGCTTAGAGTCTGTGTCTACTATCGGGACCTCGATCAGGCCAGTCGCAATAACGACTTTGCATTGCCAAATATACATATTTTAATTAACAACTGCGCCAAGAACGATCTGCAGTCATTTGTCGATTGTTTTGCTAGATACCATCAGATATGGATGGATGAAGAAGATTCAGAAAAAACCGCTTTTATCACGCCGTGGGGGCTGTATTGTTACAAAATGATACTATTTGGTCTGAAGAATGTTGGTGCCACCTATATGAGAGCCATGACTATTATCTTTCATGACATGATACATAAGGAAATCGAGGTGTATATGAACGACATTATTATCAAATCCAAGAAAGCCATGGATCATATGGAAGACTTGAGGAAATTCTTTAACAGACTAAGAAGATACAATTTGAAATTGAATCCCGCCAAGTGTGCATGCGGGATTCCCCTTTAAGTTTCAGCCTTGCGACCGCCAAGTGTTGAAGGAACCAAAGGTATTGAGGGGCTAATCTATGAAATCTTTGCATTCAGCCAGATGTCAAACTTCTGAAGAGATACAAACCTCCCAAGTTCGAAATGTTCAATGGCATAGGTGATCCCAGGGTCCATCTGAGGACATATTGTGATAAGCTGGTTGGAGTCGGAAGGGATGAGAAGATCCATATGAAACTCTTCATGATAAGTCTTAAGGGGGATGCTTTATCTTGGTACATCAGCTAAGATGCCAAGAAGTGGACAAGCTAGGTAGGTATGGCATCCGGTTTTATGGACAGGCTCAGGTTTAATGCAGAGAACACACCAGATGTGTTTTACATCCAGAACTTGAAGAAGAAACCTACAAAAACATCCACGAGTATGCTGCTCGTTCGAGATCAGAGCCTGCTAAGGACATGCCGGCCTTAGAAGAAGAGCATATGAACAGGCTCTTTGTCCGGGCTCAGGATCCACAGTATTATGAAAGGTTAATGTTAATAGAAGACAGACGTTCTCCGATATCATCAAGTTAGGAGAAATAATTGAAGAGGGCATCAAAACCGATATGGTTACCAATCTTGAGGCATTACAGGCTACCAACAAGGCTTTACAGTCTGGTGGAACATCAAAAAAGAAGGATGTAAATTCTGTGATGGTTGCGCAGAGGACAAAATCCCCAATGAAATATCAAATGTACCCATTATCTCTACTCACATATCAGCCTACCACAAATTACCAAGTGCCCTCGCCCATATACCAAATTCCACCACCAACTTACCAATCATCTCCACCTCTCACATATCAACCCACTTCTCCCAGATACTCTCAACCCGCACTTGTCTACCAAGATTATAATACCCAACCTTCTCACTATCAATCACCACCCACTCGCCAAAACATCCCTAGACCTAGACCAAACTTCGACCGCAGACCTCCTAGACAAAACACAACCATAGCCGAACCAATTGACCAGNTCTACCAAGCTTATAATACCCAACCTTCTCACTATCAATCACCACCCACTCGCCAAAACATCCCTAGACCTAGACCAAACTTCGACCGCAGACCTCCTAGACAAAACACAACCATAGCCGAACCAATTGACCAGCTGTATGAAAGACTTAAAGCAGCTGGTTACCTTACACAAATCCCAGCCGTAACTCCAGAAATTCCATCCCAATGGATCAACCCAAACAAGACCTGAGCATACCACTCCGACATGATGGGGCATACCATCTATGAGTGTCGCTTAATGAAAGATAAGATTCAAGCCTTAATTTATAACAAGGTCATCATAGAAAAGGAGCCCGCTCATAATGTCTGCAACAACCCTCTGCCTGACCACAAGGGTGTAGGCATTCACATGATCGAGATCGAGGATGATTGGGACCCCAAAGTGTTGATTGGATTTATTACGGAAGGGGATGAGCCAAAGAAACCAACAGTCACACTTAACCCGATTGGTGTCCAGATCCAGCCCTCTAAGGGTGATGAGGTGAACATGTTCGGGCCACTTGAGTTCGAAGGGCCTCCCTGAAAGGGGACAGGACCAATTGAGGTCGAGTTCGGAACTCTAAAGGCACATGCGCCATTCGAAGTTGTTGTGTTACCTCCAAGGGTGCCTATTCCAGTAGCAATGACAGATGTTACCCCGTTCCACGCAAACGCCATACCATGGGATTACACAACTGAAGCCAGGAGGAAAGGAAAAACCAAAACTGGAGAAGCAATTGTTGTACATTGTAAGACTAGATCAGGCAGAGTGTAAATTCTGAACACTTAGCTGAGTCCAGTAAACAAACCTCTGGACGGCCTACTAAAACTAGGCCCGATGATCTTTGGAGGAAAATACCAGTTAAAAAGTACTCGGTCGTTGTGAAGTTGAACAAAACACCAGCACAGATCTTCATCCTAGCTATTCTGCAGAGCTCCGATGCAAATAAAAATGCTTGGATGAAAATATTGAGTGAAGCTTATGTCGCCAAAAACATAACTGGAGGCGAAATGGCAAACATGGTGGGACAAGTGTTGGAGAGTCACAAGATTACCTTCCTTGAAGATGAATTGCCACCAGAAGGAATGAGCCACAACAAAGAATTGCACATCACCGTGCAATGAGAGGATTATTTCATCACTAGAATCCTAGTCGACAGAGGATCCAACCTCAATATCTGTCCACTGATAACTCTCAAGACATTGGGGAAAGGCCTGCACGAGATCAAAGATGGAGCTATCAATGTCAAAGCTTCTGATAGATCCCAAAGATCTACTATTGGAGAAATTAGTATGTGTTTGCAAATGGGACCAACCTGGTTCGACGTGGACTTTCAAGTGATAGACATCCCAGCATCCTACAACTTGTTGCCGGGACGACCATGTATCTATGACACTGGAGCTATAGCATCAACCCTGTATCAAGCAGTAAAGTTCAAATGGAATCACCAAGACGTGATCATTCATGGCGATGGTAGCAACCCCATAAATAGTCTCTAGACCGTCCCGATGATTGGAGGAAGAAGGAAGATAGGCGGAGAAACTTATCACCATATTGGACGAGTCAACGTTGTGGAAAAAGATAAATGGTGGGATAACAGGATTGAAAGTATCCTGAACTGGTGTGGATATGAGACTGGAAAGGGACTTGGCAGAAACCTCCAGGGCATCACCAAACCCATCAGGCTAAAGAAGCATGGTACTACTTTTGGTATGGGATATGAATATACTTGGAAAGAGTTCGATAATTGGTCGCCACCATGGCGTGGCCCCTACTATCAGCTAGAGCATCCGATGCCTCGTCTGGAGCAGAATTTCCAGTTGGCAGAGATCATATATGGGTCAGAAGAAAAAGAGGTGTTAGCAGCAATGAGGAATCTCTTACTAGAGGGTGACAATATGGACTGTTGTGTTTTTTCGAGGAGGAAGGGGAGGAAGGCCCTTTCATACAAGCTGTGAATCAGGGAGAAAGCCTCAGTAATTGGTTGATCAAAACCACCAAGGCCTGGAAAGCTTCGGGCTAGCAAGGCTAAACAAAGCACCATGCATTGAATTCTGACTTTTTATCTACTAGTTGATTTTCTTTCTACATTATCTTTAATTTTGAAAAGAGCTCCGATGTTCCAAACAATTATGAATTTAATCAAAGCATTTCAATTTATCATATATCTTGATCTTATTATTTTCTCTATCATTTACTTTATCTACACAACATTACTATTATTTATCTTGATGATGAACCAACAGTTGTGACTTCCATTGAGACAACGCAACAAACGGATATAGATTCAGAAGAGGATGATATCCCATAAGAGGTCGTCAGAGAGGTTGAGAATTTTGATAATATGCCTAAGTCTAACTTGGACAAAACTGACGTCGTTAATTTGGGAGATACAAAAAAATGTCAAAGAAACGCGTGTTAGTGTTCACCTGTCACCATCAGAAAAGAAGGGGTACACAGAATTTTTAAAAGAATATAAGGATATATTCACTTGTTCATACGGTGATATGATTGGTCTCTGTACGTCCATTGTAGCTCACAAGCTGCCAACAGATCCAACATGTCCACCAGTAAAACAAATGCTCAGGAAGTTCAAACACGACATGAGTTTGAGAATCAAAGAAGAGGCTACCAAGAAAGTCAAAGCCAAGGTTCTCGGGGTGTTAGAGTATCCAACATGGTTAGCCAACATTGTTCTAGGGCCGAAGAAATATGGGAAGC